ACAATGGCGGAGAAGCAGGCTACACAAGCCTCTGGCTCGGTGCATGTCGCCATGGTGGCAGGTTTGTGTCTTCTCCGAAATGCTGCCCTGGGCGCTTCCAACGACGAAGGCAAAATGATCAGGAAACAATTGCACAGCGTAGCAGAAGCCCTCAAGCAAAAGGTTGAGGCACTCAAGCTTGCTGACAGTGCTGACCAGGCGCTGGTAACGAAGGCAGAAAAAGTTTTGAAGGAGGCAGCAAGCCAAGAAAAGGTCGGCGCCGCCGACGCAAAAAGCCAAGCAGCTGGGAAGGATCTTGCTCCCCAGAAAAACAAAGACGGCAAAGAAAAGGCCCACAAGGAGGAGAAGGAAGAAAAAATGAAGAAGGAAAAGAAAGACAAGGACAAGGAACACAAGAAGGAGAAGAAGGAGAAGAAGGAGAAAAAGAAAGAAAAGGAAGCAAGTGCAGACGAGGCGCCAGAACCTGCGCCTAAGAAGCGCCGCACAAACGAAGAAGCTGCATCACAGGAGGTGGCCACCAAAGGGAAGGGCAGGGGCAGAGGAAGAGGCAAGCGCTAGGTCAACTGACCCAAAGCCAGCCTGCAGCCTGCAGCGTGTTTTGACTTGGGAAAAAAGGCACGTTGCAGGCTGCCAGTCGCTGCACTGCTATTGCCAATTGCTACTTCACTTTCTGAACGCCAACCCTGACAGCTTGTTCGCTAGCTTGCTTCTAGGTCATTGTAGGACCAACATTGGGTCAGTAAGTTGTTTCAAACCGCTTGTGCACTTGTCTCGGAGTCGCTGTTTTTGGTGGGTTACCAAGCTTTTGAACTTTCTGCTGTCTAAGGTTGCCTACTGGAGCCATCTTTGGCTCTTGTGCCTGGTGACATGCACTGCAGTGTGCATGCTGTGGCCATGTTGACAACATAACAGGTAGTCCTAACCTATGGCCTATGGCCATGGCCCATGGTTATAATAGGATAGGATAGGCAACGCGGCAACGTGCACTTTTGTGAAATTCATCATGGTTTGTCAGCCGTATGTCCCTAGCTGTTACAATTCTGCCCTTACCCTTGTCTTTCTCCAGCACACCGGGCCATGGCCTTTTCGAGGGTTTTGGCGAAAACCGATTCTTGTACCTCGGAACCTGAAGCGCTGCTGAATGTTGAATTGGTCAGGCAGGCTTCCAGCCGTGTGGCAGATCCAGAAAGCCTTGTTTGTGGGGATGCTGTGTATGAGTTTGCGGAAGAAAACTTGGAGGGCTTCAAGACCTTGTTTCCGCAATTGTTTGAAGAACAGGCTGCCGCTTCAGAGAAGGTGGCCTTGACGTGGGCATCAGCTTGCAGTGGGTCGGAAGGCGCTTTCTATGTCATGGAAGCATTGTCCAGAGCCTACAAAACACACACAAATTCGCAGCTGGAAGTGTCGTTGACGCACCTGTTTTCCTGTGAAAACAACAAAGACAAGCAAATGTGGATCCAAACAGTTTTGGAAGTTGGCTGCTTGAAGTCACCAGTCTCAGACTTGGTCTCAGATGTGGAGGCTGCTTCAAGTGCCTTTGGCAGCGTCTCCCACCATCTCTTCGATGACATTCAGAAGCTAGGAGACATAGAAGCCCCTTGCGTTTGCCATGGCCAGCTTTGCGATGTCCCAAGTTGCGACATTTTTGTCGTTGGCTCTTCGTGCAAGGATTTTAGTAAGGCCAACCCAAAGAAGGAAACGCAAAAACTGGTGTTTCATCAAGAAAGCTCTTTGGGGGGCTCAGCCCAAACTTACCAAGGTTTCACCAAGTATGTGGCCGCCCATGCTCCAAGCTTGATTGTTTATGAAAATGTTGATGGGCTTGAGGAACAAATAGGTTCCACCGAGCAATCCAACTTAGACGTCATAATGCGGACCATGGCACAGCTGGGGTACAAAGGGCAGCCAGTGCGGACAGATGCTGCGGCCTTTGGGCTGCCAGCACGAAGACGCAGGCTGTACATCTTGTTTGTAAGGAAGGTGAACCCAAAGGTGCACACAGAAGCCCGGTCTCTGACCAAGTCTTTTGACATGTTCAACCATATGGTCGCATCTTGTGTGAGATCCCCGCCTTGCGCCACACGTGTTCTTCTAAATTCCGCCTCAGGCGAGGTCTTCGCCTTTTTGGACGAGAGGAGGGAAAGCAGAGCCCAAGCTGCGTCAAAGGCTGCAAAATCTTCCAGCAGCTGGACCGAACAACACATGAAATTTGCTGAAAATGAAGGTCTGCGATGGGGGCAGCCTTACCCCGAGGCGCTGAAGCTGAACGCATGGTTTGAAACATTGACAGAGAGAGAGCAGGATGTTGTGGTACTGTCGAGAGCCCAAGCGCCTGATGCAGGATTCAGGAACGTTCCCCAAACCCTTGGAAGGGTGAACACAATTAGCTACTGCCAGGAGACTAAGAAGCACCTGGCGCCAACCATGCTCCCTGGCCAGATTCTCTTTGTTGAAGTGGCAAAACCACCAAGAATTATGCTAGGTAGAGAGGCGCTAATCTTTCAAGGCTTTCCAGTCGAGCCCTTCTTGAAACAGGTGGCTGACGAACACATTGACATTCATCAGCCCGCAAGAAAGGGCAAATCAAGCAAGCGGTCTACTCAGTCCAGAAAGTGAGGGGCTGATGACTGACTTAGCTGGGAACGCGATGGCTCTGCCAGTGTTGCTTGCCATTACCCAGAGCGCAGTAGCATCTTTGCTTTTTAGACCAGCTGACAGCGCAGCTACTACAGAGGAAACAGACAACGCCCTTGCAGCAGTAGGCGTCCTTCTAGGCTCAGAGACTTAAACCGAAACAGGCTTTGCCTTGGTTTTGGCCTTGCGCAGTTCGCTTCAACTGAGGCTTTGCTTCAAGAAGTTTCACTGTTGACTTGACTTTGAGCCTAGCTAGTGTGAAAAAATGCGGCAGGTCTTGCGGCTGGGCGAGGCTTAACCGAACCTCCTCTGCTGGCTGAAGTATGTAAGGGTAGGGGTCCTCAGGCTCGAACTGGCTGCAAAAACTGCAGAGGCAGTAGGCATGAAGGTCTGTGCCAGGGTCCACTGCATGGGTGGGAGCAGTTTCTGGTGGACCTAGAAAAATAGATTGAGTCAGATTGAGATTTTAAACTCTAACGTTTTAAACTTATAACTACTGTATAAGCTTGTTCTGAACAATGAACTAGGTGGCAGCGCTATCTAGTCCAATATGGTGCGACAGGCCACAGGCCATGGGCCCATAGGCGGTTTGACCTGAGCCTAGTGCAATTGGAGCTGGTCACAATTCAAGGCTTTAGTTTACCCAGTCAGCTGGTGGCTGGTGGCAGTTTTTCCCAGGCGCAGCTCTTCGCTTTCCATGTTTCTTTTGGCTTCAGGACGCCGGCCTTTCTTGTTGTGACTTCCTGCTTTCTGTTTTGCCCGCTGTGCCTCTTTGCCATGTTGCAGCTTGCAATGGGAGACTGGCTCTTGCTCGGCTTAGCTTTGTCATTCCTCTTGAACTGTGGCTTTGGAATTGGGATTGGGGTTCTACTTTGTTGCCATTCTTCAGCTGCTTCCTGTAGCAAACCTGGTAATGGCAGAAACCCTTCGAAAGGGCCCTGCACGTGTTTGCAAGATTCAGGGCTCAGCCCATGTGACAACGATCTGCCAACAGGAGCACACAGCAAAAAGCATGATGATTTTGATTCTGCGGTTCATCTGGCTGCATCAGCGTATGTACTCCACTTTCAAGGCTCTGATGTGTACCACTGTACAGCCAACTGTCAGCATATTAGACGAAGGGGTGCTGGCAAAGCTCAGCAACTCAGGCCCTGCAAGCATTGCGCACAGCAGGGCTGATGCAATACCAATACCTGTATTTGGACGGAAAAAATAGCTGCTGGAGCTGCGGCTGACCCTGCTAGGTCCTATCAGGGTTGCAACCAAGAGAACAACTATCAGATGTTTTGTTGGCTAATGGGTCCAGGCTGGTGCGCTTGTCTGTTTTTGGACTAACTGTGGTTCCATTGGCTGCAGTCGAATTGAAACCCTTGAGGGGCTTGAACAAAAGCTCACACACATGTGGAAACAAGTTTCATCCATCAAGTCAGCGCTTGCGCCAATACTATCTTGAAGGAAGTAGCAGAAAAGGCTACCGCTTCGACATAATTGCGGAGAAAAGTGTTTCACATATTGATACCAGCGCTAGAACAAGATGCAGCACTGCAGCACTCGTTTAAAGTTGGAAGCAGTGCCAAAACAAAACAATTTCAAACAATGGCAAAAATAAAAAACTTTTAAAATGACTGTTAGTAAATTGAAAAACATGTTCAAAGATTTTCAACAAGTCCCAAAACAATTGAAACAATTGCTGCAAATTTTCAACAATTTTGGAAACAATTGAAACAATTGCTACAACAATTTTGAGCAGTTTTCAACAAATTCTATAACAATTGAAACAATTGCTACAACAATTTTGAATAATTTTTCAACAATTTCCAAAACAATTGAAACAATTGCTACAACCATTTTGAACAATTTGCAAACAATTAAAACATTTGCCAAATCAATCTTAAACAATTGCAAACAATTTCTCTATATCCCCAAAGCTCCCGGACTACCAGGCTTCTTAAAAACAAACAATATATATATATATATATCTACGTTTTTCTTTTTGGTGGTGTCTACGGTGTCAATTGGCGGGTGCTCCACGGCATGTTCATGCAATTTCGGTCCCCCGGAACCAAACCAAACCAGGCAGCCTGTGGGCAGCCTGCACATGACACTGCTTGTGCCCTTGACGTAGACACAGGCACCGCAAGACTGAGTGCACCCAAGGGAACCCCTTCGGACAGATGATCCGACAGCAGCTAATGTGTATGCTCGGCACGAACCTGTCATGATACGAAACGACTATGCAGTACATGTCCCTACTTCCCTCAAGTAACTTCTCAACATTGGGCAATTGGACAAAAAAGGGCAGGATGTTAGGAGTGCTGATATTGTTCCATTTTTTTTTCTCCTGCTTTCCTTGCCCAACCCCGAAGGCCTCAGCTCAACCGACGCTATTGGAGCTACGTTGCTGGTCCACTGCTGTGCCTCCAGTCGCCGCCAGCGACGACGCTGGGTGCGGTGCTTATGGCTTTCGAGATGAGGTACGGCGGAGATGACCGCTTACCGCTCTGAGTGTTCAACTGGTTGACTCTTTCCATCTCTTTCCTATTGCTCAATGGCCTTTGACGGCCTTTGTATGTTTTTTTAAAACATATATATATATAATATATATATTATATATTACTTATTAATGTATGTGGGTTCTTTCACTCATGGCATCTCATGTTCCTGAATGGATCACGATCAAAGGACGTCGGACTTGGATGGTCTGTTGAAAGCATATTGGTGATTAAACAACGTGTGGGTGGTTTCTGTGTCTCGGCGTCTCAACCTTTGTCCGGCGACGGGATCGTTTGGGGATGTTTTGGGGTCACGGTGACGTCCGATGGCCGGACCAAGCCACACATTGGTGCCTTCCGATCATTTCAGGTGCTGGAGCATACCTCCGTCAGAAGCGCTGAACTCTTGAACCAGCTCGAGTTCCGAGGGTATATGGCAATGTTGGGTTCTGAACAGCCCCAAAGCATCCCAACTAATTTGATCGAACTTGATTGATTTGGGCACTATTCTACTGTGCTCTACTGGCTTCGCACAGGTCGCTCGAAGGGCCGTATCAGTACTGCGCGTCTTGGCCCGTTTTTGGAGTTGTTGTCAAAGATGTTTGATGTGAGTAGAGACGTTGAGGTTGGATATTGAGGTTTGGGCAGCACCACTTGCACAAAATGTTTTCAGGCTGTTTGGTCCAAAACTGAGACACAAACTGCTGGTGCTGGGAATCAAGGTGAGGCCCCCTCGAAGTCGCCACGAGAAAAGCAAGCAGTCGATGTTCTGTGGAACATGGACGCCAGGAGATTTTGATTGAAACTCCCCAAAGGGAACGACATTCAACACACTTCAGCTTTGAGGGAATACCGTATATACACTGTCTTTTATTTATATGTTGCTTTGGTCTCTCTCACTAGGATGCATCACAGAGATGTGTGTGCTCAGAAAGTGTTCAGTTTTTGCCCCACGCTGCGCAATTCTGAGGTCCAACAAATTGAAAACAGTTCTTGCCTGCAAGTTTGCTCTGTGGGGTATGCCACTCAGCTGCTGTTGTCAGAAGATGTTGGTTCCAAGTCCAAGTCAAGCGTTCTACTGCCTTTTGCGTGCGATTCTTGGAAGTTGCCAGCGTAGAATGATTTGGGTCGATTAGGTCGATTGTAGGTCTGTGTGCCGCCCATCCTATATAAAGTGGAGTATGTTGTTTCTTGATTCTTGATGTTTATTGAAGAACTCGTGTTTTGCTTGTTGGGCGGGCAGATGTATTGCTTCCAAAGCTGCGAAGGCGAAGATCAACTGGCAGCGCTTGCTTTACACCCGAACCTTCGGTTGCCAGAACAACAACGGGAGGGCAACAGGCATAGGGCTTTTGAGGGTCGTTAGTCGTTGGATGAGCGAACAACCTTGAGTTGACGAACATGCAGCCCTTGATTGGATCCTAATTGCATCTACTTACTAGCGCTAGCACATGCTAGCACCAGGGGATGCACTCCTGAGACAGCTGACTTTGTGTGGATTTGTGCTGTTGCAATTTCTAGGTGCAAGGTAGGTCTTAATAACTACTTATTCGATCTTTTTTGGGAAAGTACGATAGGTGGCATGGAGAGAGAGAGGGAGGGAGGTAGACTTTGTACAGTAGTGTTTAGAGAGCCCTTTGGCTCAAAGAAATTCATTGATCCCACAGAATCCCACACATATACTTTTGCACCTCGATGTTCACCATCTTCACGAATCATGCTGAAACCGGCGCAATTTTGTATCTCAGGTTCCAGCCTGGTCCCAACACGCTTTCCTCAGCACCTCCATGCCTCAAACCTCGGCTTGGACGACCTGCACGACCTGCGCCGTCCCACCGAGCCCTGCAACGCCGTCCCGGCGCCAAGACCGTCCTCCGTCGCAGTCGCCGCGGTGCAGCTGGGGGCGGTCGCCGTCGTCTCGAAGGTGCTGGGTGTCTACCAAGACACGGGCGCCTGGGAGGAGAATAGACGCCTGTGATGTCCGCACACCTGCGAGGACGAAGGAAACCCAACGAGGGAAATCTTGTTCTCGGACATCACGTGGCATCAGACGCTTCCACGCAAACCACCGCGAAGGTCGCAGTGGCATGGACCCGTTTTTTTCACATGGTTGACCGGTTGATGGACCTTAAACGCCCTCCAGGCATGGACTTCAATGGAGCTGTCCTTTATCGGCATGCTACGATGTCTTGGCCACCCCTCTTCCTGCGGTACTACCCACGAAGCCAGGAGTGGTGTGCCTCAGTTTGTAGTCGGGGGATGTCGGGGGGTGGTGCACACAGCACACGTCCTTTTCTGTTTTTTTTTGAGGACCAAGGGGCATTCCCTGAGAGTTGGCGAGTTGGCCTGTGTTTGTTGTGTGAGATGGGCTTACAGATCTTACAGCATACCAAATCCGTTCTGTTTATGACCGTGTTTGAAGATGGGCACATCCCCTTTGAGGGGAGTGCTGTGTTTTTAGAAGCAGAAAACTTTCAATTTTGTCTTTGAAAGCGAGACCATTTCTTTGCAGCCACTTCCGGCCTCAGCCACTTCCAGCCTTGAAACGGCCGGTTTTCAAATGCAACTTGCTACACATCCTGAATCTACGGTAAATTTGCTGTAGCTTTGGCGTTAGTTTCTGCGAGACTGGCTGGGTTTCCAGGTGTTGAGATGGGCTGGTGCTATGTGCACGGCTGCCTCTCGTCATGCAATTGAGGCACAGCCTCCTCGCCTGGGGAATTTGGCGCTGCATTCCAGTGACAACGTGTGTTTTCCACCACCTAACTCTTTCAGTCTCAGCTCCTTGAACCTGAGGCTTTCAAGCCAACCCGGAGGCTGCCGGCTGCGGCTCGCCGTGGATGGGCTGCCGCCAGGGCATTGAGGCGGACGGCAGGTTCAACGGGGCCCTGTCCCTATTTGGTTTAGGAGGGGCTTGCCACAAGAATAGAGGCCTTCAGATGCGTATGAAAAACTGTGTCGTTTATACTACCGTGAAATTCTAAGCGAGAGAGACTGTTTCTTCTTGTTCCCCACATTGACGCGTGGGTTTTTGGTTTCTAGTGTGGTATCCGCTCCTTCCTCCTCCTCCTCCTCCCTCCTCCTCCTCCTTTTCCTCCTCCCGCCTCCCACTTGTCACCAACCACTCACCAACAGATTGTCATCAACATATTGTCACCAAAACAAATTGTCACCAATCACACCAACCAATTGTTAACAACCAATTGTTAATTAACAACACATGTCCACCAACCAATTGTCATGAATTGTTAACAACAAATTTCCACCAACCAATCGTCATCAACTAATTGCAATCAACCAATTGTCATCAATTGTCATCAACCAAGTGCCATCCACGAATTGTCACCAACCAATTGTCATCAACCAATGATTTGCTTGCTAATTGTTTTCTCCAGCGGTTCGGATGTACGCCCTGGCGCTGGCTGGGGCTGCTGGGGCTCCGCCGCTGTGCCGCTGTGATTTGCGTGCGTGGTGTTCAAAAACACAGTGTTTTACAGGGTTTTGTGGGCGTGGAAGATCCACAATTTGGACAGTGGCGAAATGCAACAACTGTTGGTTTTACAAGAGTGGTGTCGGTAATGCGCGCCGCGGGGACGTGCATAATCGGATCTTTTTTTGGTGATTAGCTCCTGTCAACGCAAAAAAGGCGCAACATGTGCCCCAAGATGAGCCCCAAGATAGGTCCAAGATGAGTTACAATAGCCCTAAGATGGCCTAACATAGGCCCAAGAGGGGCGCAACATAGGTCACGAACCAATGGTCATCAATCATCAATTGTTACCAACCAATTGTCACCAACCAATTGTCAGCAACGAATTGCCACCAACCAATTGCCACCAACCAATTGTCATGAACTAATTGTCCCCAACCAATTGTCACCAACCAATTGCCACCAACAAATTGCCACTCGCCAATTGTCACCAACCAATTGCCACCAACTAATTGACTAATTGTCACCAACCAATTGTCATCAACCGACTGTTATCAACCAGTTGTCACCAACAAATTGTCACCAACAAATTGTCACCAACAAATTGCCACCCACCAATTGTCACCAACCAATTGTCACCAACTAATTGTCACCAACCAATTGTCACCAACCAATTATCAACAACAAATTTCCACCAACCAATTGTCACCAACCAATTGTCATCAACTATTTGTTGCCAACCAATTGTCATCAACCAATTGTGTTCTCCAGGGGTCTGGCCCGGTGCTGGCTGGTGCTGGTGTTGGCCGGTGCTGGTGGGCCTCTGCCCTTCTGAAAGGGTTATTTTGATGGTCTTTTAAAACATCATGGTCTTCAACCAATTGTCATCTATCAATTGTCACACCAACCAATTGCCACCCACCAATTGTCACCACCCACCTACGCAGACATTCTCTCTTGCTAAGTTGCTAACATGCGGGGTCATCCGGTCCTATAATTGTTTGGTGGCCAGCTAGGCATTAAAGAAGACTGCAGGGTTCCACTGTTTGTCACGACCATAACTTTCTTGAGGGAAGTGACTGTTGTTCATTGAGCAGCCGAGTGAAGATGTGTGTTGTTGATGTTGGTGCATTGTTCAGAGGCACTGGTTGGAAGCGAGTTCAAACAGCAAAGAAGGCTGCCCTGACCAAAGGTGTAAGTATACTGAGAAGGCCTCCAGCTCGTGTTGTTTTGGTTTTGTTTTGCAGTGGAAGCGTGGTTTGCATCCATGCAGCCTGTCAGGTGATGTGCTTGAAGGATACTACATGGGCGATTCGTGATTGGATTTCATCGAGAGAGCTTCTCGACGGAGGAGCACATCCACCGTGTTTGTGGCTCGGGAAGGGCCTTAGCCAAACACATTCTGGCAAGGAGGTAGTTTGGCAAAGTCTAAGTCTAAGTGTTTGTTTGCTGGCCTGGCCTCCAATCTTGGCCAACATAGGCGAACAGGTCCATACGATCCACATCCGGGAAGTCCTGAGGCCTGAGTTGCAGCACGCCCAACGGCGGATCGAGGAGAACTGCTGTCCAGTTCTTTGGACCAAATCCAAAGGCAATATCTATTTCGATATATATATATTATATTATATCTATATTTCGATAGAGATGATAAGGGCTCTTGGAGCAAACATGAAAAATACTGAGGAACAGGCGTTTACAATGTGTTACCGTGTTATGCTCTTCCACCACCTCAGATGCACAATGTGTGTTGAGCACAGTCTCAAGTCTTTGCTCGTTGCTCGCTTTCATGGTGTGGTTTGACCACTTATTGATTCACTTTTGGATGTTGAACAGTTGAAACCATATTGGTCGCCTCCATGAAGCAATCAAGTGCCATTCAATCAATGAACAGGACTACAAAACTCTCCAGAACTCATCAAACATTTGTGATGACTCCTGAGCTGTTGGTACCTGTGGCCATGTGTTCAGTCCACAAAGCGGCTTCTCAGGATGCGCTCTTAACTCTTCCAGGAGCTCATCAGGAGATCTGGATCGGGAGCCGGTGCCATCTCAAGGTCCTCTTGAAGATAGTGTTTAGACACGGTCTCCTTGAAGATGGCTGATAGTAAGGGACAGTTTCCATGTGCACTTTTGGGGAAATGAAGGAAGGAGTACAGTAAGAGGACATGTTTGGGGGGCGCACCTGTTGTTTCAAGAGGGATGGTTATTTCGCCTGCTAGCCGCTGACCGCGGGCTTCAAAAACACCCAGCTGCTCCATGTCGTCCACTGCTCCAGGGGTTCGTGGGTTTTGTGGCCTATCAAGCCACAAGACCCGCTGTGGCCTGTGAAAGCCGCCCGGTTTGAGGAATATGATCTGATATGATCGTTTTTGTGCGTGCCATTTTTGGGGTGGAAGTTCTTCCTGGAATCTAGTGCCCTCCCTGGAACACACCAGTCACAAGAATACAGGTGTTGCTTTCCGTCATATGGTTGAGAATGTTCGGAGAGGTTGTATTACATCATATTATATATACACAGTAAAGAATCAGTATAGAAGTGAGTTTGGATGTTGTGACCTTGGCCCTACCCCTATTGTCCAGACAAGAACTTCCACTTATCAGGAGAAGGCAGGTTTATTGCGCCTGCCTCTTGTGATGGGCAATTACACAGGACTGGGTGGGCAAGTTTTGAAACTCGGCCCTGTTGTAGCACATGCATACTGCATTGCTGCATGGATGTTTTTTTTGGCCTTTTTGTCATAGGTGGTGTTCATTTGAAGCTAAGGGGCTGACACTGAGAAAGCCACGCTTGGTGGCCTACCACAAGCTGATGAGTGTTGTTCTTGAGGGTGAGTGAGAGAGAGAGAGAGGGAAAGAGGCCCCACCAGTCGAAAAGTGGGCATGACTGAAGATCGACCTAACGCACAGGTTTGCATGTGCCATCTTTGTTTGCTGCCTTGCATTTGCTGCTTTCCACTTCCCACCCACCTTTGCACCTTGAGTCGGAGAGCAACCACAAATTCAATGTCTACACCGTCTCGGTCATCTAACAGTTGCAGTTCCTAAACATCATGTAGACTTAGTACCTCCTGGGAATGTCCACTTCGGGGGACCATTGGCATGAGCATATACTGTATACATTGCATGGCATATGGTATTTACCTAGCAATGTCCCCCCTTTCGACCAAGTTCATGGCCCATCCCAGCAGGCCTCAAGAGCGAATCGATTTGGGCCAGGGAGCGCTCGGACCTGCGTGCTCGGACCCGCGCAAAACAACCGCGGCTGCGGCGAAGACATGTGAGCCTTGGACGAGTTCGGAACACATATGGGGAACAAAGACCATATTTTTGCCCGCTCCTACTGTTTGAAGGAGGTGCCTATACTTAATTAGGCTAAGTTAGCTGCTAGTATCTGGACGCAGGATAGCTCACGCTCATACTATTGATTTGGTTCCTATTTTTTGGGGGAAACTAGTCTTTTGAGAGGCGTTTTCTTGTGTGTGCTTGGGTACAAGCAGGTTCCCAATTGTTGGATTTTTCAAGGTGGGGTGGCCATGGTCGTGTCAGTGAGACAACATGGCAGCAGAAAAACATGGCTGACATGGATTATCAAGTCGTTGTATTTGGATGGCCATGCAGCCACAGGGTTGTAGGAGCAAGGACGCTACTAGGGGCTCCTGGCCTTACTACTAGGAGCAAGAAGCTATTGAAAACAATAAATATACAAAATAGAATAGTTGAACTCGTTGAGTCGACAAACGGATGTGCTGGCCAAGGATTGTGGTCCGTGTTCCAAAAGCAAGCTCATCAACGCTGGCTTCTGCCCGCCCTCTAGTACTGCAAGACATTTATGTTTTACGTTTAAATACAGTATTTATTGAAAGTTACATAATCTGATCCAGTCGGTTTGGGCTCAGCATGGCTCAGCACAAGCTTGAATTGTGTGCAGATGTTTGGCCACATCATTGGTTTTGCAGTGCTGCAGACTTCACTTCGTGTCAGTTCTCCCCGCCACCACTTCAGAGGTCTTTGTGCGGCTGGGTCGGTCCTTGGGGCACTTGATTCCGGCAGTGACCTCAATGGGAACAAACGAGACCTGATCATCACTCCAAAGAATAGTTAATTCCATGGCAGTTGTTTGATCAAGCGTAAAGATTGTTTGGGGAAACTACCATTTATTGGAAGTAAGCATGGCAAGCAGTCATTCTTCCCCCCACCTGGTCAAAACATTCAAAAAAGAACGTAAGATCAGAATGGCCCGGTCCCATTTTGCCTCCTTGGCAGACATCACGAACCCCCCGTCGAGAAACACCTTGTCGTCATCCACCCTCAGGTGGGAGCCCATGAGTCGGGCCTCCCTCGGCGACCGGGGGGGATGCCAGTGGCTTGGAGCATCGGATCGGGTTAGACAACGATGAGAACTCACCCGAGGCTCGAAAAACAGCAGATTGCAAAGCAAGGTTCGCCAACCACTGGTTCTGCTGGAAGTGATGTGATCCACATCTTAGGTGATGCTCACTATCAAGCATGACCTGCCAAAGGTGGTGGCTTGGAGGAAAGCTGCAGAGGGGCAACCTGTCATGTTGATTCAAGTGTGGATTATATTAACTGTTTGGCACTTGAATGTGCATGTGCGATCATGTGCGTATGTGTTTTTTTGGTGGTTTCCGGGTGTTCCACTAAAAGACACGAAGCCTGCTTAGTTTAACCAACCAGCACTTGGTCATCACCACCGGACGCAGAAGCCTGGAATTGAAGTCCCCCACTGCAAAAGCTAAAGTCGGACCAACACCAAAATGGGTCAACCATGCAAGTGATATACGTACCCAAATCCATCCAATCAGCCATTTGGAGGCTTGAGAAGTACTCCCAAAAACTGGACCCCGGGGTCGAATGGATGAGAATTACACCCAAGTCAGACTGTTTTCCTCAGGGTCGAACTGTTCGTTTTCAGTGGGTTAAATGCTCTCTACAAACCGGTGGCGCTAGACTCGAGCCCGCGGTGGGGTCCGAGTGCTGGAGGCCTGGTCCGAGTGGCGCGACACATTGGGGCCCGCTCCGCTGGTGGTGACCACCTTGCGGCATCCCCACCAGCGAGCCTCAGCCAAGTCGGATCCACATATAGTGTGGAGATGTGCGGATGAAACTGGAAGATGGACCAAGTGAAGTGGGGAGGAAAACTATGTCAAAGATGTCTAACAAACATCCTAGGGGGATCTAGGACCCGGCAGTGTCCTGCAAGAATAACGGGCTCGATTCGATTTTGAATGTTTGGTTGCAAGCGATTGGCTCTATGAACATACCACGGGTGTGCCTTTGGCTGTGAGTCTCTGCTGGGTTCTATGGTGCATAGGCCGCCCTGCTTGTTGACTGGGCTCGATGCCGTTGCGGCTTGGTGTCCACCTTTGGCGGGGTATTGCTTCGCGCCCATGTAAAGAAGATGTTGAGGTTTCGCAAAATCCGTGCTCCTCATCTCAAGCCATTCCACCATGCCTTATGATACGTCATTTTTGTGTCCCACCAGAATCTGCAAGCGCTTCAAAAAGTGGATCGGCTCTCGGACGCCATGGACAGTTCTGATTGACATTGTGCAGATCTCCATTGCCCAACGCAAACATGGAAGTTGAGCAGCCTACTGGAAGACCATTTTTATATATAACCAACCTGATTGCATGTGCTTCTTTGGCAAGGCTGCATACTGCTTTCCCCCCTTCGTTGAATCGTTTCTTTCGCAGGATGTGTCTCTGCGCTTGATCATGTGCACATCGATGCGGCGGTGCCCCCCAGCATGCAGGACAGCGATGTGCCCCCCAGGTGGCCACATTTTTAGAGGGAGTGTTTTTTCGACATGTTGGAATCACCAGTTCTTTGGGTGTTTTAACCTGTTTCTACGCATGTTTCCAACCTTTTGGCACCCTCAGCATGTGGCAGTACAAGCTTTTGTGTGTCCTGGAGTATGTAGCATCATGTAACTGCAGAAAAGGATCAAGACCTACAGTCTACGATATATGTATATATATGATATATTTATATCGACGAGCGCTTTTTTGTTGCACGTGTTTCCGGTTAATGCATGTGACAGGGTTAATAAGTTAATTCGCCACACTTGGTCCTACAGATTTCCGTGGTGGATTTGCAAAAAAAGTGTTTCCCCTAGCAGCCCTGGGGGTCTTTTGAAACGAGTTGTGTTTTCATGCATCCCTACCCTTCAATAGTTTGGACACATATTTAAATACATAAATAAAACATATATATAATCAGGAAGTTTAGTGTGCAAAACTTCCGTGTTACGGACATTCAACAGCTGTTCAACCACCACTCATCATACACCACTCATCATACACCACTCATCATACACCA